TAAGATTATTTATACTTCTGAAGTGTTAACAACATTATTAACACTTCGGAAGTATAATTAATCTTACAACATTACACTTCGGAAGTATAATTAATCTTACAACATTATTAACATTTCATAAGTATAATTAATCTCACAACAGTCTTAACACTTCAGAAGTATAAATAATCTTACAACATTATTAACACTTCGGAAGTATAATTAATCTTACAACATTATTAACACTTCAGAAGTATAAATAATCTTACAACATTATTAACATTTCAGAAGTATAAATAATCTTAGTATAAATAATCTTACAACATTATTAATTCTGAAGTGTTAAGACTGTTGTGAAATTAATTATGTTCCTAAAATATTAAGAATGTTGTAAGTGTAATAATACTTCTGAAGTAATCAGACTGTTGTAAAATTAATAATACTTCTGAATGGTTAAGGTTGTTATAAGATTAATTATACTTCTGAAGTGTTAAGGCTGCTTTAAGATTAAATATATTCCTAAGATAATAAGGCTGTTATAAGACTTCTGAAGTGTTAAGAATGTAGTAAGATTAATTATACTTCTGGTATGATAAGACTACTGTAAGATTAATAATGCTATTGAAGTAATAAGACTGTTGTAAGATTAATTATACTTTTGAAGTGATAAGAATGTAGTAAGATCAACAATACTTCTGAAATGTTAAGACTGTTGAGATAGTATTAGATCAACAACATCCAACATTCATAAAAAATGTAAGAAGACATTACCAGATACTAAACTATCATAGTTTTGTACATACAGCAGTTTCATAATGATTGTTTCCACTCAGTTAGAAAAAGTTTTTATTAAGTTAATCTTATTTTTTATAACCGCCCATAAAAACTCTTTACAATTGTACCACAGAGAAACCACAAGTCACCTCCCTAAAGTGAAATATCATCATGTTTTAAGTTTTGATATGTTCAGATAAACTAAAGTTCTGTACTAAAACAACAAACATAGCATTCTGAAGGGAAAACAAACGCATTATTAACAAAATTTTAACACTAAAGAAAAGCAACATATTTAATAATAACGTCCAAGAGTGGCTTAAACTCTAAGTGAGCCAGGGAAGGCTAGTATACACGTCTGTGAACAGACAGTACAGGTATGACCAGCTTATGCTTGATGTTTCCAATGTAAGACGTGTTTTCTTTATGCCTCTATACTTGTACGTATCTCAAATCTATACTGCAGTATCATGCCAATCTTACAAACATTTCCTGTATGTAATACATGAGTTATGCAATGGCATATTAGTTAAGATGTACTTTTTTGATTGCTATAAATCGCAGTTGCCAGATATTAATATTATTTCTTAAACAAAGGAGCTTGAAGATGTTAGTCTATCATGTAATACATGAGTTATGCAATGACATATTAGTTAAGATGTACTTTTTTGATCGCTATAAATCGCAGTTGCCAGATATTAATGTTATTTATTAAACAAAAGAGCTTGAAGATGTTAGGCTGTCAAATAGTCAGGGAAACTTTATTGAGAAAAGTTTGGTTCATGATAGTTCCGTTTGTATTATAAGTTAGTAAAACATTTAAACAAAAGAGATAAAAATTCAGAAAATTCGTTAAATAAAAAAATTTGAAAAGTTTTAATGGGCTGCTGGTTTTTAACTGTGCTCGAAGCTTACAGTTTGAGACAGTAGTTAGAAATTCTTTTGTAGAATTAGTTAATTTAATGTTTCTCATATTATAAGCTAATTACTACATGAGAATGACCAAACAGTTTGAGCAATTTATTATTTTTTTTTACTCTGTTGTGTGAAAATGCTACATACCTTACTCTCCTATAGACGTTTGGTTGGTTGGTTTTAGTTAAGCATAAAACTACACATTGGGATATCTGTGCTATGCCCACAACGAGTATCGAAATTCGATTCATAGAGGTTTGAGTACATTGTATTAAAGCTATTTTGAATATGCAAGTCAGCAAGTCACATGATAACCACATCCAATATAAAGTCGCAGTGAAACTGTATATATCACAACAATATTTGAAGAATCGTAGATAAACTGATTCCTCTAAAAATTGTTCGATTTTGGGAAGTGTATGAATCAGCCTTTTATGACGCAAAATATACATACATTTAGAACATAAAGATCAAGACGAGGATATACCTTGTACTTAATGGTGATGGAAAACAAAGGAATGTGGATTGACCTGGGCACCAGGATCATACAAAAAAAAGACATTAGACAAGTCGTACCCCAGCTGCATCTTGTAACAGGTGACAATTCATGAACATAAAGTCAGATATCTAAAGCTGTCTACATGCTCCAGGCAACAGTACGCAACATAATCAAAAAAGAAGGATCTCCTGTCTTCTAACGAGGTTAACAGAGTATGGGTTCATTGAGATAAGGCATTCACTCGTGCCTCTCGTTCAACCCTTTGCATACCACAAACAGCTGGAGAATGAAACATAATTCCATGCTATTTTATAAGAAGACATTCTGAACAAGTCGTTAAACATAGCGCTTATCGAATTGGCAAAGTGGGTTCAGGGGAACCGTTGTCCTAGTACATTAGCTAGAGTATAGAAAATATGCAAAAAGGAGTGGTGTGCTTTGGACATAAAGTTTTACGACGGATCATTTTGTAATGGAAGCTATACTATAGAATTATTGTCAAGATGCACGGTAATAAAATAAAGCATAGCGAGATGTGGTGACATGTATTGGTTTGGTGAGGCTCCAAAATCGTTTTAATATAATACACCCACTCTATATATATATATAGTGTATATCATCCAAAAACATTTGAGCGAAAACAAAGCTAAAGTGTTATTCTACATTTAACTTAGTTCTCAACTAACCACATCACATTTCGTAGAGTGCGAGTCAATGGTGATTTTTAGGTGAATTAGAAGCTAGTTTTACAACACATGAATAAAATGATGCAGTGTGAGTAATGGCGAGTTGCTTTATGTTGTTGGGTTTATGTTTGTTTGTTTGTTTTGAATTTCGCGCAAAGCTACACGAGGGCTATCTGCGCTAGCCGTCCCTAATTTAGCAGTGTAAGACTAGAGGGAAGGCAGCTAGTCATCACCACCCACCGCCAACTCTTGGGCTACTCTTTTACCAACTAATAGTGAGATTGACCGTAACATTATAACGCCCCCACGGTTGAAAGGGCGAGCATGTTTGGTGTGACGGGGATTCGAACTCGCGA